AATGAAAGGTGGTCTTGGTGTTTCATAAAACCTATGAAATATTTATACACAAAACGTAGTTACGATCCCAGTTGTGGTAACATTTCGTTTGTTTTTCATATAAATAATGAGAACTTTGTAATGCTTTTTAAACGATCATCAAATTCTTCATAAATGTTCATAATCGCATATTTACAGTAAGTGTTTCAAACGTGTTTAACAATGTATACAAGAAAAATGGAATAATACAAAGAGAACACAATATTTAAAAATAACTAATCGACAGCCTAGCTTTAAGTTGGACTATAATCGTAAATTATAAATATTTTCTTAATTATGATAACTCAAAAATCTAACATATCAACTTCACTTATAATAAAACGAATCTGCTGTCTGCAAATACGCTACTATCTTCTACTCCTAACAAAGAGATGATTATCCCGTTGGATCTGTGATTAGCGCTAATAATAATAAAGCTAATGAACGTCGGATCGTGTTAACCACTCAAGTGTCACACAAATCTCCTACTCCATCACGCTTTTAGTAGATTGATAGAGCAATGAGGCGGTATGTGTTACAGCTGCCACCACGTTAAACTTACCGCTTATTGGAGTGCTGATCTCAACACGATACGACGCCTTTCTGGTCTATTTAGGCTACGCGGCATTAGTTGGATGTCAGATCATGTTTAATGGTACAGACGGTTGACATGATGTTCCTAATGCGTGCAGGAAAGGGAAATATTTCCCAGCCTCAGATTTCCCGACCGATCCTATGTAACGGTCTACAAGGCAAGAGCGTAACGGCTTTTACAGAGTATTTTACCTTTTGCGTTCACCATCAAAGAATGCTCATTACCGGGAATAATAGACAAGCATTTATAAGTCGATCATTAAAATCAAACATTATAAATATATACACAAATATTTGGAGTGATAGAACTGTATTTTCTATTAAAGTTGAACGCATGAAAAACGTGACATCTTTAACGTTATTATACGAAGTTTTTTTCTACAATATTATATTACGAAGTTTTTTCTACATGTTTTAATTATTTTACTTACTCAACCCATTCTAGGCTTGTCTTATATTCCCCAATAATATTAAATATTTGTGTTTACTAAACACAGTGAATTTCATTCAACAGACTATCTATTTTTATTTCTTTCTCTTTATGTTACGATACGAGTATATAGAGCATACGATAAAAAGCTCACATTTAGTAAAAACGGGTTCTATTTGTCATAAGAAAACGCTATATTATCGTATAAGAAGCTGGTAAATCTTTTCTGCTTACTTTTCGTTCGGATCAAAGGGAAACCGTAATCTGTTTTGAGGAAAGTTCCTCGTGTAAATAAAGAAAAGAGTTTTATTTATATACTCTGTCACGTTCCACAACATTCAACAAATGGGCCATTTTTGCAATATTGAAACACTACAATAAACATGACTCAGAAATCTGTTGTGATGGTCTTAGGGTATTTTAATATTAGCCTATTAATTCTTCATTCTGAAATAACATATTAAATGAAACTAGTTTCTGCATTTTTATTTTTATTTTTAAATACCGACAGGAAGAATTGAAAAGAGGAATTCAAATTACAATTCAATAAAAGTAATATAATCTTATGATGATTGTACTGTAAAATGAATTTACAATATATTTGTAAACCATAATATAGAGGTGGGATTTGACATACCCGGCTATCTCACTCACCAGAGAAACGCAGAAATATGACAATTTCATTGCAAGCCAGTTTTCTGTGAAGTTGTGGTACTTATCCGGACGGACCTGACCATCGTGCAACTGGCAGGACTGTTGCGTGGCCCCACCACGGTTAATTTTATTTATGGATTAGTGCTAGCAACCTTTAGTTTACATTAGTTTATATTCAGTAATCCTTTTCTATTAAATACATCGGAAATTCCCAGCGCGAGCCTAGACGCGCTGAGTAAAGGGCAGATGGCGTGGGGGTGCGGCAAAAACGTAACACACCGTATTTCGACCCCGTTAGACCAACATGGAGGTACATCCGCTCTTATTGCCTCTCCTCGATACATCTACCGGGAGCGGCTTCTTGTGTACGTTCTGTCGCGTTGATTGATAATGCCAATAACTTTTTGCCGCCAACAAATGCTCGAAGCAGGGGCTTTGGCTCAGTTTTATCGCTTTTCACAGAGAGCTATATTGAAGTGCTTTATTTATATATTTACAATCCAACGTAAGGCCCGCGCTAATGATTATTTATTAAGTTATCTTCGTTAATGCTTTATACTTAAAAGCGAGTCAATCCAAGGAGAATATGGTTAATTGTTAATTCTTGTTAACTCTGTAGACAATTTATTATTTAATTTAATAAAAAAAAATATTTACAAATGAATTGTAATGACATTGATTATCAGCTTATATATAAAATTCTCGTGTCACAAAGTTAGTTACCTTACTCCTCCGAAACGGCTTTACTGATTTTTATCATATGCATATTCAGTAGGTCTGAGAATCGGCTATATATTTTTCATCCCCTTAAATGTTAAGGGTGGTCCACTCCTATTTTTTTTTTATTTTTAAATATAAAATTTTTTGTTATTGTTTTTTTATGATACAGCATACAAAAATACATACAACTCAAAATTTTCACCCCTCTACGCAGACGTAGTTGCGGGCAGCAGCTAGTTAGAATATAAGGTGTTCGAGATCTTATACTACATAGTATAAAACAAAGTCGTCCCGCTGTCTGTCTGTATGCTTAGATCCTTAAAACTACGTAACATATATATATATATATATATATATATATATATAACATAATTAGGTTATATATATATATATATATAACATAATTAGGTTATATATATATATATATAACCTAATTAACGAAAGTTTTTGTTAGAACAAAAACCTAAACATATCAAACATATCTCCTTAGATATACATGATGTTTCCTTTCTCTGCTAACTACACATCGAATTAGGAAAGCATTATTTAAAATAGTATTTTTAAACCAAAAATTAAACAATCACTGTTAATATTATCGACGTTTATGTTGATAACAAACTAAGAGAATTCCGTTTCGTTTTCATTTCTAACCAATAACCGTCCCCGTGTGCATCGGCATTTCGAGAACAGGAGGGACTTAAGTCATTGCGCCTACTTTACTCCCAACGTCACTTTAATCTTCTTGGAGTTGTTCTTACTTGGATGCTTTCGTGTTTCTATTGCCAATACTTGTTTCTATTGTCATTGTTCGAGTTTAGGCATTAATAGTTCCGCATTGCTTAAAGTTTCTTTTACTTAAACTAAACGCTTCCTCGTCAATTTGGTGAATTTGAAATCGATTGATTAACTAAAATATTAAAGGCGTTTAAATACAGTGTTTCCATTTCTGAAAAATCAATAATTATCCTAATGAAATTAACTAATTTATTATTTATGTTCATTAACTATAATTCAGATAGAATCATTCTTACATGTAAAAACATTGATATATTTTTGGCATTTACGCTTAAAATAGTAAAAAAGTAAAGTAAAGTAACAGCCTATACATGTCCCACTGCTGGGCAAAGGCCTCCTCTATACCGAGGGTATCAGGGCATAGTCCACCACGCGGCCCCACTGCGGATTGGCGGACTTCACATATCTTCGAATTTTTTTTTTTTTTATTATTTCGAAAATATGCAGGTTTCCTCACGATGTTTTCCTTCACCGCGGAGCACGTGATAAGTCAGCACTTAAAGTTAAAAACTTCATTGGTGCCGGCACCGGGGACCGAACTCAGGTTGCTCGAGTATATTAAATTAAAGGCGAGCGCCCGGACACTGAGCTATCACGGCTCAAAATAGTAATCATTTTTATTTCTCGGTGTCTTCTGTTTTCTATTTTTCTTTTTGCTGGCTAGGTTCTGCTTTTTTCCTTTTTTATATAATGTCCTTGTTTTCTATTAATTTATAAACTATTTTGAACATTTAAAACCGATTTCAATCATACGATAAATAACAAGCAACAATATAAAATTTTATTCAAAGTTAAAGATGAGATCTGAAATCTGATGTGAAAAGATTGCAAAAAAACTTGAGACACGAGAATATTGTCTACAAGAGACTATGACTACAACAACTGCAGTTTATCTTCATTTGTTCCAGTATGTTCAAGTTACAGTACAGTTCTATTGTACCTTGAAAGTTTTACCTTTTTATTCCTAGCTGCTTTTGTTTCTAACTTTATAGAAAATATAGTTTTTATGAAGATAAAAAATATGTCTCCGCATTTATTTATTTCGTAAGAAAATGTTAGAAACGCAACAGGTACAACAGGTAATTGATATGCGAAAAACCTCAATCATGATTGAAGAAACTCATTGTTCAATTGTAATTTAACTTTAATTTTATCTTCATTTATTCTCGTAAACAAACAGGCGGCAAAACGCAATAAAGGACAATAAAGCAGCAGTTTTTATAGTGTTTAATTGAGGTTTTAATTTTGCCGGAGCACAACTAATACCTTTAATGCTGACCGTAGCACGGGTAAATAGCATAGGGATGTTCAAAATTCTCTTTTATATTTTACTCTCTACACTTATTGCGATGGTGGAAAATTTTTGAAAAATTAAAAAAAAAACCCGTAACGAACTTAATAAATCGATGAAATAATTTTATATCATAATAATTTTTATATCTGCGTATTGGTCTTCAAAACATGTTCCTCGCGACATTTTCCTTCACCGCAGAGCACGCGATAAGTCAGCACTTAAAATTGCAACCAACATTTTCATTAGTTGCTCGTATAATAAATTTTTGGTAATTCATAATTTTGGCCAAGTCTCTGATCACAGATCCCAGTTACAGTAGCTCTCTATCCGTCGTCGTCCGGGTCTTCTACATGGCCTTTGTGGGGCCTTGCAGGTGCGGGTATCGAGGCTTAACCTCATGACCCGTGCTTCTTCTCGGGGGCCATTAAGGCACCCCGGTAGTTGGGGCCTATATAGGCGCTACGGTATATACGTTGTTAACGCAGGAACGATTTAACCTCGTTGCTCGCCTAGATGCCCGGCGAGGAGTGAGGTTAGTGTGCGACTTATCGCACTCCAGGTTGCCAAGCTTGCCGTTGTTGCTGATATTATGCTATTTATGGCCTCATTTGCGACGCGTATTAGAAGTCGCACCACTTCCGTAATGTTGTCTGTTGTAATAGCTTCCGATGTACGCTGGTGTTCGCTGGGGTGGTGTTCTCGACGTACGATTGGCTCCGCCCTTATGTTGTCCCTGAAGCGTATTGTTCTGCCTTCCCCGCTAGGGGGGGGGGGCGAGTGGTGTGTTTGACGGGGGCGGGGGGGGCGATTTATCGCTGTCGTCTCCGTCTCCGTAGTTGGTATTGGCACCGATGGTGCGTCGCTCGCCGACGTCGCGGGGGGCATCACGTCCGCGGCGTCTGCGTCGGTGACTTCTTATCCGCTGTGTAGGCGGGTTAGCTGGGGGTTGTAGCGTAGTAACTACTGTGTTGGTTCTTGTGTCTGTGTCGACGATATTGGTAATCCGCTGTACCGATGACATAAAGTCCCTATATATACCCGCGGCAGTGGTTCGTGCCGCGGTAGGGGGTTGTAATGCGGTTGCGCCTCTACTTGTTTGCTCCGGGTCGGTCGGAGGGGGGGTAGATGAGGTTGGGGGCGGGGGGGGGGGGCCCCCCCCCTCCCTTCGGTCGTTCCCTTGTTCGCGCCTTTCTCGGCCGATTGTCACCCAACCGTCCTCCGTAGGCGCGTTTCTTCGGGGTTCCGGTCTTTGTGGATGCAGTTTCATACCCCGTTTTCTTGCCTCCCTTATGAAGGCGGGGCAGCGCCGGTCATTGGCGGGATGCCGCTGGCGACAGTTTGCGCATCTGGCTGGAGTTGTAAGCGGCAATGGGCAGTTTGCCGCAATATGATTGTCTGCACATCTGACGCACACAACGGGTCGATGGCAGTTATAGGAGGCGTGTCCAAATTGCTGGCATCTGTGGCATTGCGGTGGGCCGGTTCTACCTCTCCATCCTTCCACAGTAATGCCAGGCATATTAAGTAATTCGACTGTATCATACAGTCTGGCGAGTTCTCTGTTATTGATGCGTTCTAATTGTACATAGAAAATGCATCTTGTGCGGTTTCTGGCCGGCGGTATTAATTTAGTGTATACCGCCGGGAAGCCTAATTCTTTTAGGGCTTCTGTGATGTCCTCCGGTGGGGTGGTTTCGGGGAGCCCTCTAATCCCGACCTTAGTAGGGAGCTCGGTAGCGGGAGCATAGCAATGCCATTTAATTGCACTGTTTGTTTCGGTGGCATTTGCTAAGTGTCTTTGTACGACACGGTACTCATTCGCGGATTGTGGGAGAAAGCGCATTCCTTTGCCGAACGTACGAGCGTTGGGGGCGTGTCCCAGTTTGCGCTTAAGCTCCGCGAAATGGGTGGTCCAATCAGGTAGGTGTTCTACCACTATTGGAGGGTAGCCCTTTTTGGTGGTTTCATGAGGCTCCGTGGTGGCTTCAGGTTGTGGTTGCTGCGATGTGGATGGCATCGATGGCGGAGTGGTGGCTCGAGCGATTGTCGCATAGGACGTGCTCTGCGTTAGATTTTGTTGGATTTCCTTTATTTTCGATGGGGCTTCATTGCGCTCGGGGGAGCTTCTCACCGTGTCGTACGACGGCGAACGCGGGGGTTGCGAATGACGCGTGTATGCGGCTGCCTCGGGGTTGCGGTCATCTTCGCTGTCGATAGAATTGGCGATCCAACACACTGTCGTTTTTCGTACAACGACGCTTCCGTTTCAGGCGGCGTATGTCGCCTACGAGTCTTACGGCGGTGGTACGTCTTGGCCGGGGTGGATGCGTACCTAGACGCACCACCGTCGGCCTTGACTTCCGCCACCCCCGAAGTGCTTGCGGCGCTCCTGCGGTACTCCTCTTCGCTTGTAGAGAGGTCCTCCGTTGGTTGTTGTTGTTGTCGCTGCAGTTTTGGTCGCAACTTATCCCTCGGGAGCTCAGCTTCCTCGACGATAGGTTGGTCCGTCACTGTAGGTAGACGGGTCCTCCTACGAGGTTTGGGGGGCGATGCGCCCTCCATCCTACGTGGTTCCGTCTTGGTCCGTTGTGCGGACGGTGTCGATACCCCCAGGCGAGCAAGTACCTTACTCCCTTCAGCGCGGGCAACTTAGCCGGGTGAGACCCCTAGGGGAGGCCCAGCGAAGCGCCCAGCGAGCAGGGAGGGGTACAAGGTCGCAAAGTGTGGTGGTAATCGTCGCGCTTCGTAGCGCGCGCACTGCCTGCCCTTTTCCTACAGGAAAGGGGGGACACAGTGCGGGGTCGCACAAGTGGTCTCGCGGTCGCAGGGGTGTAGGTGTCGGCGAGGCTTGCACGGCGCTCACGTTCCGGACAAGGTGGCCTAGGCTGCTCGACGCTTCACGGAGTTAGTACCTCGACGTTAGGCGGAGTGGCTTCGGCGGACTTCGGCTGGATGGCTTCAATCACACACGATGTCGCAGAACGGGCGCTTATGCTCTCTATCCGTAAACGTTAAAACTTACATGTACTGTTCTCTTCCCCTATTTTCAGCCAATTTCAAAATTGGAAGAGGTCATTTATTTATTTAGTTATTTATACTTTATGCACACAAAATATGTACAGAGGCGGACTTAATGCCATCAGCATTATCTATCAGTCAACCTTTGGGTGGTCCAGAGAAGTTAAAGTAGGTGCATTAATTGTAAGAAAAAAAGAGCGGCGTTGGCGAATAGCTAACCATTGAAGTTGAGAACGATAGATAGACACATTAATTAGATAAATCATTAATTCGAATTTGTTTTTTTCTAGGTTTGTTTCCTCAAAACTCGGTAAAATTATTTTAGCATTGGGATCAGTATAACTTGTCATTTTTCATTGGAGAAGAATATCTATTTAAAACTTAACAATTTTTTTATGTATGTTTATACAACCGTATGTATGCGCGATCCTTTGTGTGTATATTTGAATGTATTTATTATATTTTTATTTATATGCCTGATATCAATAAACTTAACTTAGTGTTTAATTCCAATAATCTGTATGTAGTACAAACTATAGTAGGACTAGAATAATAATGCACACACATATGCCAAGTAACCTTTCATTATGATTTCCTGACTTCAATTTAGGGTTTTGTTCGCCTTTGAGTGCATAATAAATAAAAAATGATTATGCAAACTTTGTATTCATATATCGTTTTAAAATGACGAGATATTTTCGCTTTCAACGAAGATCCGTATGGACCACCAACGATCGACAAAGACCACCTACGTACGCTACCAAAAGTGTTATTGTTAGCGATACTCTAACCAGTAGAGCAAGCTCGGTGCGTCAGACACTCCTTATAAGCTGTTTACTAATTGCGGCTGATTGAATTCTTTTTATTTAAGCAAGTATCATTTCGTATCAAACATTCGTTTTGGTTTTAATATTGAGTGAGGTGATCGGAGACCCCTTGAACACATGATTAGGTATGCCGCCTTCTTGTCTGCCACTTGTATTTAATTGATATAAACCAAATACGTAAATATCCCTTATTTTATTCAAGTGAGTAGACACCTAGTATACTTATATATAATTTTCGGAAAATGATTAAAACATATTTATACAGGGAGAATTTTCTAAGTGTATCCATTTTTTTATTAAATTCTTGAAATAAATGATGTTACATAAAAAAAATTACAAATATTTTAAAATCTCTCGTATTTAATTAATTACATTCATTTGAACTTACCTCAAAAAGTGCGTGATTTATGGGCAACTTATTTATTTTACGCACGATCATATAACTAACACGCACACAAGTTCGTTTCAAAAATATATGACGCATTTATGAATGACTACAGCAATGTCAATAAGTTTTAGGAAACAGAATTGCAATTTAAAAAAAAATTGTTTTAAAATAGTGTGTAATTTTTCAATAAACGATAATACTACCGTGTCTCAACCTCCTGTGTGAATTTGGACACCTTTAGAAAAGCCACCCTGTATCTTGAAATTCTTAAAATCGAATAGCAGTGAAATAAGTTATACTAGTACTTTGGAGATGCGTTTTAATCTAGTAAATTGATTATTATTAATGAAATGTAAATTGAAATTAAATACAAAAGGTAAATTCACAGATATATAACATACACATAAATGAGAAATACTCCGTGTCTCGTTGAGAAACAGACTGCCAAATAAAGTAGTACATATATATTTATACAGACACCATTGTTGGCTCGTAAAGGCCCATTTACACGATGCCATTTTCTTGTACATACAAGAGCAATAATTGATTGCAATAAATTGCGCGCAATAATTGACCATCAAGAATTGTAAGCAACAGTTTACACGCAGATATAGTAAAAAAAATTGAATGCGATTATTGAATGCAAGTCTTGACAAGAAATAATTTCAAATGTCTTTTGTTTACACCAATGCAATTATGTTTAGGCGATTATTACTTTCAAATTTTGACTTGTCTAAACACGTGCTTGTATGTCCGTGTACAATTTATTGGCGTGTTGCTTCAAGTATTGCAGGTATTTGCGTTGACAAATATTTAATTCAAGTGTTGAACGTTTTGAAAAGGGCTGTTTATTTAAAAAAATGGGTTAATAATAAATGTTTAAGTTAGATTATGCCGATTTAATATATTTCATTGAGATTTATTTATTATTATCCATATATCATTATTCATTTTTTGTCCAACATTTTTACGACCATTTCTCAATATTTCTTGCCTCAAAAGAACAGCAACGATTAAACACCCTCACTCATCGCACTCATTTTTGCAATGGAAGAGAGAATGCAATTGAATACAAGAATTGCTTAAGAAATTATTATGTGTGCTGTTTACACCAAGGAAAGTTTTGAAACAAAACTTGAAGCAAGTCTTGTTCAACAGTCAAGAATGTTATGTGTTGTTTTTGACCATGCAACTCATTTATTGCTTCAATTTAATTGTATACAACAGGCAAGAAACTGGCACCATGTAAATGGGCCTTAATCCACACGGCATTCAATTCTGATAAAACTTTTAATGAGAGGCGTCCCCCGTATTCTGTGGACAATAATGACCAATGACAACTTTATGTCCCCGCCACAGATCGAGAATAATGAATTCACACAACACAAACATTTACATATAAGCGAAAGGTCAAACCTTTCTCGTTGTCGCTATCGATTATAATCGCGTCCATTAATTCTATTAAATACGTTTGTAATAAAGTGGGTGGACCATGGAAGGCCACGCTCCTTTGAAGGCCAACTATTAAAAAGTCGCAGTTATTGACATGTAAAGACGTATTCCTTCCAGTTCACACTAAGATCTATCAAACTTAAGGCCCCGAACACGGCGGCGATTCGATCGCGCCGCTATTGTGGCAGTGCGATCTCACG